ATATTAATTAAATATTTTTTCTTATCAATTTGCAAATTTATAAAAAATATTTAAAATATTTAATTATTAGTTAATAATTTTTTTTTTATTATTTAAATTATATTTTATCTATTAAGTAAAAATATTTTTTACAGCATTGTTAAATCACACCACTAGTTCTAAACACCAGTATAATAATCACATGATTTTTATTATATATAAGATTTATTATATCTATAACTAATGCTAACGTATATATATTACAAGACTTTTAATATATTATACATAGTATTAAGCAAACATGTACTATTAAACAAATTTACTTTCAATTGCAGGTTCATGCATTATGGCCCTTTTTGTGACAAATACCACATTGCCTTGATTTATCCTCACGTTGTTTTTGACTAGTTTTAGCTAAGAAAAGGAATTTACAATCATACGCATATATGCAATTTTTTATACGTATCAGAATCAAAAAAGCCAGAAAAGGAAACTGCAGATATGCACATATATTGAATTAAACAAAAAAATATTCAAATACATACCAGTACCTGCTTTATCAACTTCAAAGTCTGTAGTTGTTAAATTTTCATAAGTTTCATTATCCTCAGATTTTCTTTTCTTTCTTCAATCTTTAATGTTTGCATTATCGTTGAAAGCTTTTTCCCTCTTTGATTTTTGCCCTTTTGAATTGATACCAATTGAGTTACTAATAGTACGTGCAAATTCACTAACATTATTAGCTTGTTCTATAATTCATCCTTCATTTATCTCAATCTCATTTTCCATTTCACTAACAAGTCTTGAATGCATTTCATAAAGCTCTTCTGCTCTACCTGTTGAAATAGCTAAGTTAAGTGCTTTTTTCATTATTCTGAACCCTTTTCCCCATTGTTGTTTAAGTATAAACTCATGATGAATTTCTTGTGTAAAAACATGTTGACCACGAATGCTTTCTAGGTGTGAAAATTCAACTTATTCATTATGTTCTAATATATTATAACTTTCATTTAAAATTGTTGTAATTGTAGGCTCACTTGTAAATGTTGAATCCACTATTAAATTAGTATACCAACGTTGAGAAACAAGACTGATATGGAATTTTGCACTTAAAGAAACAAGCATAGTTGAAAAAAATAATGACACACAAGACCATGATTAATTAGTGTCAAACATGTACAAAGATGACCAGCATTATTGTATAAAACAATAAAGTTTTTTGATTTTTTGTTCATGGAATAAACACACCAAATCTCATAAATTCTAGTTAGTTCAATTTCTACTATTAAAGCTTAAAGTTCAATCATATTTGAATCAAAAATGCTTTCTGAGAATATGCCGTTAGGTGATTCAGTACTGGTAGTCTACAAAAAAAACAATTGATTATTTATATTTTAATTACCAATATTTAAACACTTAATACTAACTTGCTGTATAGTTTCCTCATTCAAACTAATCATGTTGCACTGGTAATGTGCACTGCGATTCATCTCATTTTGTTGAAGTTTTAGAATCGCAGGAGTTAAAAAACGTTGACATACTTCATCAATTTTTTTAAAATACCAATTATGATATCCCTCTTCTTGACTCATAGAAAACTTGCTAATAGCATCATTTAAATTTACAAACTGATTTTCTTTTACTAACAGCCTCTCAATAGTATGATCAAGTTCTAAGAGTGATAATGTTCTATTTACATTACTTTTAATTATGCTATTATAGGCTTCAACATGTTGAGTACTCTGCACTCCTGTATTAAAAGCTCGATGTGTAAAACATAGTACTCAAGCTTCCCTACATGGATATAACTGACATTGCAAATAATCAGTAGCATCAGTATATTCTTGAATTAATTTATTCCATCTCTTATTAAAAATTGTTTCAACACGGCTGTTACGTACGTAACAAAAAGCTGCAAAAAATTTCTGCCAATTTTCATGGTATTTACTAAGAAAATGTTTTTCTAAATTTTTACGGATATGAAATAAGCAGAAATGATATTTTGTTAATGGCCAGATACTTTTTGCTGCAGCTATCATTGCAAGATCAGCATCAGTATAAAGTAGGGATAGTACTAATCCACTTGTTACTTTTTTAAAACTTTCAAACAACCATGAAAATGTATCCTTAGTTTCATCGGACAATAATGCAGTAGCTACAAGATGAGATTGATTATGGTTGTCAATCAAAATAACAACACACAAAATCATTGAATATTTGTTTATTTTTGCAGTTGTGTCAATTAATACTACATCAAAGAAACGAGCCCATAATTGTTGTTGGCTTGGTCTCATCCAGCAGAGACACACCAGATAATTATCTTTACCCTCAAACTATGCATCTACATGGAGCATTGGATCATTCTCTTTTTGCTTTATGAGCTCAAGATACATCGAACCAGCATCACTAGTTACTCTTTTCTCATGCCTAATTGCCTGAACTATATTATAAATGTTACGAGGATGAATGTATTTTGTTGGGTTTTTACACTATAGAACTTCAATAATAGTACTGGCATGTACTCCAGAAGCCACAAGAAGCCTTACTTTATTACAAATTTCTGGGGAAAGTTTGCAATAATGAGAAGCGACCATGTCAATATTTTCAACAAGTTTATGATTATGTTCACTATCAACTTTCGTAATATATATCAAATTATTATTCTTCCTTCGATATATATTTACATGGAATTTACAATTTCCTGTATGATGCCCTTTGTTATGACCTTCGATTATGTGAGCTTCCTTCCGTGAAATATGCATTCGGCCTTTCAAACATACATAAACACGTCATCGGGGAAGCCTATCTTCCTTATCTATATCACTATGTGTAATCGTAAATGCGAAACTATATTCCAAACTATGATTGTCAAGTCATCTTAAACAAAAAAAAAAAATCAGCAATCATATTACTTATAATTATTCTTTTAATTTTATAGTTTATAGTTACTCATCAACTTCTTTCCAGTTACTAAAATCTATTCCTAGTACGATTGGATATAGTGGCCCTGAATCCTCAATATTTTCATCATTACTATTTCTTTCAACTTCTAATAGTTCATCTAGGTGAGGTAATTCTTCTACATCAGCTGTTTGTGATTTTTCATCATAAGTTACTAACTGGTCAAACATATCTTCCAGGACGTTCAGAAAAGGCGATTCATCAACAACATTTATTAAATCTTCATAATGCTGTGACTCTTCTATATTAGTTATCCATTGAGTTTCATGTATATCCGAATAACTAAAATCATCTTTTGGTTCATAGATATCAGTGCTGCTA